ATGTACTTGTAGGCAAATGTATTGGGGACAAACTGGTAACCTGCCTCAGGCTCTGTGGAATCTTAATCCTTAATCAGCTAAATATAGCATCAAACAAAATACCTATATGGAACATATCTCAGTGTCATAGAATGGGAGTGACATAGATATCCCCAAAGTTTCAGTAGCAAAACTGAAACTATTCTCACACAAAAGTACCCCCACCCCCTTTTTTTTGGTATATAATGGCATGCAGATATATTTGAAGGTGTTTGTATAGAGGTGTATAGTTGGATAGACTGTGTATCTGTGCTTTCTACCTACTTTAGAGTTATCATTTGGTGGGCAACCCTCAAAAATCTAACTTTGAAAACTGGATTAGTTTCCATGGAAACACGTACAATGGTTCTGGATGCTTTCTGCACTTCCAGAATACTGAATTAGGATTCGCAGATGTTTTACAAATCATGCTCAAGATGAACTCTGTGAAAGATTTGACTAATACCAGGACATTTTTTACAGCTGTGTCAATGTTTAACCCTCTGAGCAGTGTTAATTTTGTCAACTAACAATTTTAGTCAGATTTTAGTTGACTCGACTAAAACTAAAACAATTCAGATGACTAAAATACGACTGAAACTAAATTTACTTTTAAGTCAACAGACTATGACTATGAAACTGGCAGGTAAGACACATGGGGGGGGGCTGAGGAATTGAAACACATCAGGGACTGGGGGGAAATCAGAGACAGAGAGGGGCTGGGAAAGGGGCAAAAGAGACAGAGGCTTTAACAAAACCCATTAGATTTCATTCGTGTCACTGGAAGTTCAACATGGCACCTCACGTCAAATGACTCTCTGAGGATCTGAAAAAAAGAATTGTTGCTCTACATAAAGACAGCCTAGGCTATAAGAAGATTGCCAAGACCCTGAAACTGAGCTGCAGCACAGTAGGCAAGACCATACAGCGGTTTCACAGGACATGTTCCACTCAGAACAGGCCTCGCCATGGTCGACCAAAGAAGTTAAGTGCATGTGATCAGCGTCATATCCAGAGGTTGTCTTTGGGAAATACACATATGAGTGCTGCCAGCAGTGCTGAAGAGGTTAAAGTGGTGGGGTCAGCCTCTCAGTGCTCAGAACATACGCCGCACACTGCATCAAATTGGTCTGCGTGGCTGTCGTCCCAGAAGGAAGCCTCTTCTAAAGTTGATGCACAAGAAAGCCCGCACAACAGTTTGCTGAAAACAAGCAGACTAAGGACATGGATTCCTGGAACCATGTCCTGTGGTCCAATGAGACCAAGATAAACTTATTTGGTGCAGATGGTGTCAAGCGTGTGTGACGGGAACCAGGTGAGGAGTACAAAGGCAAGTGTTTCTTGCCTACAGTCAAGCATGGTGGTGGGAGTGTCATGGTCTGGACCTGTATGAGTGCTGCCAGCACTGTGGAGCTACAGTTCATTGAAAGAACCATAATTGGCACCATGTACTGTGACATACTGAAGCAGAGCATGATCCCCTCCCTTCGGAGGCTGGGCCGCAGGGCAGTATTCCAACATGATAACGACCCAAACACACCTCCATGACGACCACTGACTTGTTAAAAAAGCTGAAGGTAAAGGTGATGGACTGGCCAAGCATGTCTCCAGACATAAACCCTATTGAGCATCTGTGGGGCATCCTCAAACAGAAGGTGGGGCAGCGCAAGATCTCTAACATCCACCAGCTCCGTGATGTCGTCATGGAAGAAAACTCCAGTGGCAACCTGTGACGCTCTGGTGAACTCCATGCCCATGGGGGTTAAGGCAGTGCTGGAAAATAATGGCGGCCACACAAAATATTGACATTTTGGGCCCAATTTGGACATTTCCACTTAGGGGTGTACTCACTTTGTTGCCAACGGTTTAGACCAGGGCAGTGGCGTACACATGACCCATGGGGCCCCGGTGCGAAAATGATCCATGGGCCCCCCCCCCGCGCGCGTGCCGGGCCGCAACACATGACGGTGGGCACCTGGTCGCAGAGGTTACAGGGCTGCGACCCCTGCGACCGCGGTATGTACGCCAGTGCATGCAGATGCACACACACTTAAAGGACCACTCTAGGCACCAAGACCACTTCAGCTTAATGAAGTGGTCTGGGTGCCAGGTCCAGCTAGGGTTAACCCATTTTTTTCATAAACATAGCAGTTTCAGAGAAACTGCTATGTTTATGAATGGGTTAAGCCTTCCCCCTAATCCTCTAGTGGCTGTCTCATTGACAGCCGCTAGAGGCGCTTGCGTGCTTCTCACTGTGATTTTCACGGTGAGAGCACGCCAGCGTCCATAGGAAAGCATTATGAATGCTTTCCTATGTGACCGGCTGAATGCGCGCGCAGCTCTTGCCGCGCGTGCGCATTCAGCCGACGGGGAGGAGAAGAGGAGGATCAGAGGAGGAGAGCTCTCCGCCCAGCGCTGGAAAAAGGTAAGTTTTACCCCTTTTCCCCTTTCCAGAGCCGGGCGGGAGGGGGTCCCTGAGGGTGGGGGCACCCTCAGGGCACTATAGTGCCAGGAAAACGAGTGTTTTCCTGGCACTATAGTGGTCCTTTAAAGGACCACTACAGACACCCAGATCACATCAGCTCAATGAAGTTGTCTGGGTGTCACGTCCCTCTAGTTTTAACCCTGCAGCTGAAAATTTAGCAGTTTCAGAGAAACTGCTATGTTTCACTGAGGGTTAATCCAGCCTCTAGTGGCTGTCTCACTGACAGCCGCTAGAGGAGCACACTGAGCGTCCATAGGAAAGCATTGAGTAATGCTTTCCTATGGGCGGTTTGAATGCGTGCGCGATCGCATTCGGAGCTGAGAGGCTGAGGGATCCTCAGCGCCAAGGGAGTCCGGCGCTGGAGAAAGGTAAGTGCTGAAGACACACACACTTACAGACGCATACACACTAGCTAACAGACACACACATTTACTGACAGAGACACAGTCAGCGACAGACATACATACACACTCAATTACAAAACATACACTCTCATTGAGAAACACACACTCACTAACAGACATCAAACAGACTCACTAAGACACACACACTCAGTAAGACACACACAGTAACACACTCACTGACACTCACTAGCAGACACACACACTAACACTCACACACACTGACACTCACACTAACACTCACTCTAACCCTCACACTAACACTCACACTAACACACACACTCAAACACTAACACATTTTTTTTTTTTTTTATTTAATCCCCCCAGCCTCCTTACCTTTTGGAGTGCTGGGGGGGATTCCCTGGGGTCCAGTGGTGCTGCTGGGCTCCTGGGCGGGTGGCCGGTCAGGCGGGCGCGCGAGGGAGCACTCAGTGCTTCCTCTTCAGCTCCCTCGCGCGCCGCACTGATGCCGGAGCCGGAAGATGACGTCATCTTCCGGCTCCGGTATCCCTATGTGGCGCGCGAGGGAGCTGAAGAGGATGCACTGAGTGCTCCCTCGCGCGCCCGCCTGCCTGCCCGACCGGCCACCCGCCTGCCCGGTATCAGCAGGGCCAGCCTCGGGGGGCCCTGGGGTGGTCGGCTCCTGGGCCCCTCAGGGGAAGAGGCTGGCCCTGTGCGTACATACCGGGTCGCAGGGGCGGCCGGGCCCCCTGGTGGGCCGGGCCCGGTCGCAGCCGCGACCCCTGCGACCCTGGTATGTACGCCAGTGGACCAGGGATAGGCAACCTTCGGCACTCCAGATTTGTGGACTACATCCCCCGTAATGCTCTTACACCCATAATGCTGACAAAGCATCATGGGAGGTGTAGTCCAAAACATCTGGAGTGCCAAAGGTTGCCTATGCCTGGTTTAGACATTAATGGCTGTGTGTTGAGTTATTTAGAGGGGACAGCAAATTTACACTGTTATACAGGCTGTACACTTACTACTTTACACTGTAGCAGAGTGTCATTTCTTCAGTGTTGTCACATGAAAAGATATAAAATATTTAGAAAAATGTGAGGGGTGTACTCACTTTTGTGAGATACTGTATATACATCTATCTATCTTTATTTTTTTAAATAGAGTTTTCTTTTGAAACCATGTGGCTAAATAATCAATAATAAAAATAGATAATTTTTTGTCCTTAAATCTTTCTTTTATCAGCTAGAAGTCATATTACAAAAAGTAATTCTAAAACATTTGAAAATTTGGCATTTTGGGCTTATACGTTTAAATGAACACTTCAAACACCTGACCTGGAAGCTCCTGCTAGTGGGTTTCCATTAGCATTAGATGATGCTTGTCTTCTGCTTGGTGTTTGCTGATGGCAAATAATCAGAATATGTGGCAATATCCATTACACCCTATATCATATATCTTTAGTTTCTTTATTTCCTCTGCTTGAGAAAAGAAATCATCTGGCTTATGTAACGTCTTAACAGTCAAAAGCCTGTGTTTAGATTAAAGTAATTCTCATAAGATCTAGTTAGTCATGACAAGAGGCAGGAGATATTTTTATTCAATAAAGAGAATACAGACAGCACTTAAAATATGCTGTGTCAATCAATAGAAAAAGAAACACAATGTGACAGAATCAATGGTGAAAAGAGTGTGAATAAAGACACATATAGTTAACAAAGACAAGAAATGTTGAAAAGAATATTCATTGCAGTACTGTGTTTTAGGGTTGGAGGTCCCAGTTCTGCATACTGTAGAACTGCTTAGCTTCACTGTGTCAAGTACATTATAAATTTAACATATTGCACAATGTTTAGCATAACAATTTGCAAGCTCTTTTGCAATGTCTATGCTAAGTAGCTTGCAATCAATTTGATGTAAACGAAGACGCTACCATTCTCCCACCTTCCTCTACACCTCACCCATATCGGGCAATGTGCTTACTTGCCATTCAACATCTCTCATTGAGCACAGGGGCGAACAGGGCAGATGTGACCTCATTGAAAGTGGTTTGACCTGGCCATCTGTTATCATTGCCCTGTGGAAAACATAAATGATTCTGTGCTCGAAACAAATATACCTGATATGTTTTTTTCCTAAACCTCTGACTGGTGTTCACTACAAACATAGATAGTGCTGGGCCTTATCCTTCTCTTAGCCCTTCCTGGAACTTTAGGAAGGATCTTGAAAGTTTTAGGTATGAATTCCATGCATGCTTCACGGAACTTCCTGATTCTCCAGCAATAGATGACTGGGTTGAAAACAGACTTGAGGTAAGTAAGCCACAAGATGCATGTGCTGATGATGTAGAATGAGGAGCTGTAATAAAATGTTCTGCTGAACACTGAGAGTAGACTGAACACCGAGTGAGGAAGCCAACACAGGGAAAATCCAATAAAAAGAATCAAAATGGTGGTGAAGGCTCTTGTTTTGAAACTCATGTCCACGTTCATTTGATGAGGCTTTTGAAGCCCCATCAACCCTAACTTGCTTACTTGGCTTAGGCACAGACTGTCTGCATGGTTATGAATCCTAACAGAGTTCCTTCTCACTGTGTTCAGAATGCACAGATAAGAGTATAGCATTACACTGAAAGGGATGAAGAACACAGCTACAACCAGCATGACTGCATATGCTCTATCAGCAGAAAACTCAGTATATCCCAGTACACACTGTGGAGCTCGGGTGGGCACCTCCACCGAAGTCCATCCAACCATCGAAGGAAAGGAGATGCAGAATGACAATACCCAAGAAGTGGCAATCATTATCTTGGCTTTGTGTGGGTTCAACTTATCCTGCCGCTGCACAATAATTAGAAATCGATCAACGCTAATGATTAGTAGAATGGCAACACCTTCCAGCACAAAAAACCAGTACAGCATGGCTGAGATCTGGCAAAACTGCGTCCCAAAGTACCAGCTTCCAGTAATAATTGTGACTGCAGTGAATGGCATGCAGAAGAGTGATAACATAATGTCAGAGAATGCCAGTGTTGCCAGGAGAAGATTGATGGCTGATCGCATGGCTGGCTTCTGATAAACAATAAGGCATACAATGGCATTGCCTAAAAAAGCAATAGCAATCATCACTATCATTATTATTGCCAGTAATATCCTGAGTGGAGTTGGGAAAGGTTCAAACTTGGAGTTTAGGGGAAAAGTCGTCACATTGTATTCAGATAACGTGAAAAAGTCTAGGCCAGTGGTGTTGCAACCCATTGTTAAGAGTCAAGCAATAAGGAGCCTGTTTGCATTCATTGTTCTGTTCTCCATTGAGTCAAAGATGGTGTTGTTATACATGTTTGTTAAAGATCAGATGTCGGCTTTCCCAATCCTTGCATCGCCATAAATCTAATGAGGAAACATAAAAGCACATTAATAAGAGATGTTGAAACTGTCAGAGCAAAGAAGGACTAATTACACAGATGAATCGTAAGGTTTTTAGGTGCCTTACTGTTATGTTATGTCATGATCAATATCTAACACAATGGCACCAGGTAAAGGAACACACCGGAGTGGACTTACCAATAATTTTGTATCATAAATTATACATATAGATGATGCCAATGATCTTTAAAAATATGTATTTAAATTAATAACATACCGCTGGTTGATTTGCTCTGCAGTTTTATCAAATTAGCTGACTGATATCCTCTTTCACATTGAAGCCAGGAACTAGCAAAGATGTCTCAGTCTATCCTTGGCTTATCACAGATTTCTATGTGAGAATTTAGGAGCCATTGTGTATGACATGACATGCAAGCCCAGGAATCTCTGTAATTGTGCACTTTAGCAACAAGCCTTATTTCATTCATTGGGGAAAAAAGTGGCTAGAAAACGTTTGCAGATGAGACTGGAAGAGCTGAGATTTCTGGGACAGGCACATCTGGATAGATTTCTATGACGTCAAAACATGACAGCTAATATGAAGTGGACTCTTGCAACTCAAGTAACCCCTAACAGTCCAGGATTCAGGGATTACCCAGTTGTGCCTAAGGTGTTTAAGAAAAAACAAATAAACAACACTTTAGACACAACAGGGTAATCCCTAAATCATGGACTGATAGGGGGTACTTGAGGACTGGGTTGGGAACCACTGGTCTAGATGAATATTCCTGTTCTTGGGTAGAACATTGGCTTAAGGATAGAGTACAACTAGTTGTCATTAATGGTAAATTGATAAGCTGGACAAAAGTGGTAAGTGGTGTTACTCAGGGTTCTTTTTTGGGACGCTTCTATTTAACATATTTATAAATGATCTTGAAATAGGCATTGAAAGCCATGTTTTAGTGTTTGCAAATGACACAAACCTTTGTAAAGTAATAAAATGTGAGCAAGATATTGCTTTGCTGCAGAGGGATGTAGATAGATTGGGGGACTGGGAACTAAAATGGCAGATGAAATTTCATGTAGAGAAATGCAAAGTTATGCACTTTGGGGCAAAGAATGCACAAGCAACTTGCACCGTAAATGGTAGTGAATTAGGTATAACAACACAAGAAGTATTTGGGAATTATTATAGACAACAAATTAGGCAGGACAAATCAATGTCAATCTGTAGTTGTTAAGGCCAATAAGGTTTTGTCATGTATAAATAGGGGCATAAATTTTTGGGATTAAAATATCATTTTGCCTCTTTATAAATCGCTGGTAAGACCACACATCAAATATGCTGTGCAATTTTGGGCAACTGTTCTAAAGAAGGATATCATGGCACTAGAAAAAGTGCAGAGACGAGTTACAAAATTGATAGAAGGAATGGAGGAAGGTTAAAAAAAATTAAATCTCTTTAGTTTAGAAAAACTACGCCTCAGAGGGGATATGATAACATTATACAAATATATTCGAGGCCAGAACAAACCATTATCTGGGAATCTATTCATAAACAGGGCTATACATAGGACACGAGGTCATGCATTTAGGATGGAAGACATGAGAATAAAACTAAGGCAAAGAAAAGGTTTTTTTTACAGTAAGAACTATAAGGATGTGGAATTCTTATATCTGTCTCTCTATGCAAAAACATAACATACAGGGATATCATTTGTAATTAGTGGGGTAATAGCTGCTTAATCCAAGGAGATATCTGACTGCCATTTTGGGGTCAAGGAGGAATTTTTCCCTAGTTTGTTGCAAAATTGGAAGCGCTTCAGACTCGGTTTTTTGCCTTTTTTTGGATCAACAGCAAAAACATATGTGAGGAAGGCTGAACTTGACAGACTCAAGCCTACTTTTAGCTATGTAACTATGTAAGGTGCCGAGAGCCGGAATGTGACATCACTTTGGCTCGGGCACCATTACAGGGCGCACATGGATCGGAGCTCCCTCAGAGCAGCCCACACTAGACCCCAGGATGAGGATCCACGTCTCTCGTAAAGGTATGGAGACTTGGTGGATCTAAACAAATATCTTTTTTTTAATGTGTACGTGTGTGAAAATGCCAGTGTGTTAGATTGTGTCTGTGGTTGGTTGTGTGTCGAACAGTGTTTTTTCACTGTGTTTGAATGTGTGCTCCAACAATATTGACTATCTCCACCAAAAAGCCTCATATCCCTTACAAAACAGCTCGTATACCCCAGAGTAAAGCCCCTACCTGTCCACACAAATATCTGCCCCTATTCCCATACTAAACCCCCTATCACCCCACAATGTTGCCCAACCCCAACAGTAAAACCCATATCTCTCCACACTGAAGCTTATATCCCCCACGTTGCTGTCCCCATCTTACACAATCCTGCTGCTTTTCCTCCACACTAAAGCAACTATCCCTCACACCCACTAAAGCACTATATATATATTGTGAAGGAGCTCCTATACCCTGGCTGAGTATCTCTGCTTAGTATTCCCTTTCTCTGGAGTAAATCAGCCATAGTGATTATTGCATAGATCCCAAACATCAGACAAGACTAGAAGGATAAAGCAGGTACAACTTTTATTCAGCAGCTTGCAAGTTTATATACACACACATTCCCAACAGGGAGTCATTAGGGCACACAATATAACCCCACCCAGGAACCTTGGCGTCAGGGACATTACTTAATCAACAGCCAGAAAACGTAACTACCAGACAAAAACATCCCAAATAGAAGTGTTCCCTACATCATATCCCCAAGTGTCAGACCATCAAGAGCTCTGGTTCAGGTGGACAACTGTCCAAAAAGTGCACAGATCGGTGGTGTCCAGCCTGAGCAATCACTGGATGAAGTTTGACTGGGCCGTGACCATTCTCCGATCTGGCACAAAGCTCGTTGATATTTGATGGTAAGTTCCGGTCACCACTAATGGTTTCCAGCGGCTCTGGATTAGGGAGTGCCCACAAGTATTGGGGGTTATTGGATCACCTGTCCTATTTCCCTTTCAAATAGCACTCTGTTTGACGTTTAGGGGACCGAGCGATACCCAATTGTAGTTTTACTGGTCTGTGGCATATCTCTGATCTGAAAAACAATTCCAGAGTATCTCCGCACCCTGTGCCAAGAACGAGCCTAGATAGCTTCCAAGAGTCCCTGGAGTTAGCTGAACAATACACCTAGGCGTTCTGAGTGTCCTGCAGAGTAAGAACACATGTTGGAAGGATGAATAAAGTGGTTTCAGTCCTTTTGGGTAGAGATTAGCCTGGAGTCTTGCAGCTGTTTTTATTGTGATCAAATCAGTCTGTCACACTGCTCCCCCTAAACCATTAGTCCTGCAGATACAGCTTAACCCTCAGAGGTCACCTTGAGGAAGTCCCTGGTGGTTACAGTTATTTTTCTAATTCGGTCTGCCATGATAACCTGTTGTCATTTCTATTCTATCAGAGCGCTAGAGAAATAGCGATATCTGCAGGTGTCATACATTTCCAGAGAGCTTGTGTTTGGAGAGGCAAACTGTCCAGAAAGCACCTGGATTAAAGGTGTCCAGCCTGAGCAATCATTGGATTAAGTTTGATTGGGCTGCGGCCATTCTTCAATCTGGCACAGAATTCCATGATCTTTGAATTCCTGTGAATCCGGAGCACTCTGTGCCTAGAAAGAGTCTAAATAGCTTCCCAGAGTCCCTGGCGCTAGCTGGACAGTAAAACTGGGCATTCTGGAAGTCCTGCAGAGTAAGGGCACAGGGAGGAGGGGTGAATAATGTGACTATAGTCCTTTTGGGGAGAGATTGGTCTGGAGCCCCACACCAGTTATCGTAGTGACTGGATTAGTCCTTTACATATAATAATTAGCATTAACACAACACTAACATATTCCAGTTATATAATGGGGAGATTTGACAACAGATGGGGATATTGACAGTGACTTTACCTGCTTAGAATGAGCTTACAATCTTTGAGGAAATTATATATGTATAATAATGACATTTATTTATTTATTTTCTTTTTACCCCCTAGGAACGGACCCCAGGTATTACGCTTCTGTCCATCCACAGTCGTCTTGTACATCCCCCATCCACTGTCACGAGCCCTGCTTGAACAGATTTTTCTCCCAATCTGTACATTTTACTAGTAATCAACAAGGTACAGAAAGCATTTTCAAATCAGAGCTTTATTTTGCACTTCTAGATTTGCATACTATTCTGTCGCAATGTATTATAATAATATAATTTCTTTCCCGGGCTGCTTTTAGTGTCCAGTGCGGCCTTAACAGTCAGTCACTGCAAAATGAGCTCAATAGGAAATGCATTCAATATTTCAAAAAGTGACAATGCTATCTGCAATCATTTCCATATTTTATATGGCCTTCTAAGACTGTAATCTACCCTCCAGAATTATTGGTTCAATGGCAGGTTTTTTTAAATTGCCTGTTGATGTTTAGATACAATACAGCAGTATATTGGAGACAGAAAGCTGAGAGACTAACATATGTTTTCTACCATGAAAGATATTAAAGGCAGTCATTATTTTCAGAGGCCTAAAACATTACAGATGTCACATCTATTACATATAATAATCATAACAATCGACTTAAATGAAGTGTAGTGTCCAGAGACAGAAGCAATGAGAGGTTAGTGATCCAGAGTAGGTGGCAGGCCTGGGATCCAGTGTAGGTGTAGATGTAGTCAGTCATGCAGGAGAAGATATAAGGCAGATGCAGCAAGCACAGTGAGGACGAATGATGAATGGGTGACATTGTGCTTCAGTCACAGAAGAAGGGGGTTTGGGGTAATCCAAGTAAGTGGAACAGAGGAAATGAGTGGAGAGGATGTTAAAACATACACCTACAGGTAAATGTGGATTTACT